CCCCAAAACCCCAAAACCCCAAAACCCCAAAACCCCAGAGAACAGCACAAGAATTGGTAGCTGATAAAATATGAGTTTTCAAAAATGGAAAACACCCTAATCTCTCCAATCACTAAACACAGCATATTTCTCTAAGAACACAAAGCAGTGCAGAGCCTTAAGGAGATAATACACCTGGGGTGTGGATATAGGCATGGGTGGGGGCAGAAATTCATCAGGGTTGGATACTTGCTTCCCACAAGGTGTGGCCTCCCTGTTTCAAGCCATTTTTGGAATTTTGAATATATACAAGCAGGTGGGTTTGGAATGATAGGTAATTTTTAGACCAAAAAATATTCCAGAAAGGAATTATTGTACGAAAAATAGAAGTTTGAGCCAAAGCACTCATCTGATAATCCAACTTGGGGTTAGGGCAGCCATGTAGCCATCTGTATCGAGGTTTGATAGCCCATTGGTCTTTATTTCAGTGTCAGGTATATGATAGCTTGAGATTGAGGGTAATCACCCACACTTTAGTCTAACTGTTGCGCTCAGGATGCTCTGAAGAGGATACAAGCCATAATTTTTTTGAAACAGAAAACTTTAAAGAGAGCTTCTAATGATTACTTCGAAAATTCAAATTTCAGCCGAAAATAAACATGTTTTATTTCAAATATATGAGATAAGAAATTACCCATATATTTCAGAAGCTTTCATGCTTCCCAGTTCTCCATCGGCTTAAGCCTAATGCAATTAAAGATGGTGAAGCTCTCAATAACATGCTTTGTTGCTAAAGAAGGATTTTGAAAGGGAGTTAGACAATGAGGTAACATTCCTAACAATCGCCATTTCTATATCAGGAGTTTGCAAACACTCTTACTTCCTAATCTAAATCAGCTGGGACTTATTGAAATATTTGTTCTAGAGAAAATTTATTTTGAACAGACATTTTCATGTTTGCCTGAGATAGAAATCCTCTAAACTCTCTGAAATTTCACGAATAATATTCATAAAGCACAACGCCAAATCTCAGAAAGAGGATGCTGAATATTTAACACAGAGCATTAGTGATCGGCTTAGATTTTATCAAAATATAATTCATGAGTCTAAGAGGTTGCACAGGTTATTGAAACTCTAAAATCTATGCTGGCTTACATCTCAAAATCTCTGGTCTCTCCTCAGGATGAAATCCCAGTTAGGTTTGGACAACACTCAGGGCTGAAAAATAAGTTCCCATAGCAATGGTAAACCAGGTCTAGGCTCATTCTCTATGTCTGAAAATCCCTTTGGCCAACCCACCATGGTGATGAGCTCAGCATTTTATGAAAATCTGCCATAAAATAGATTTTTACCTCAGAATTCATTGTGACAAAGTTCATAGTCCTGACTTCTCAAGCCTCTTATTCCTTAGGCACTGTCACTCGGGTTATGGATTAAGCCACATTAGGGTACTGAGCGTTGTTTCACAACAATTTTGAAAGATGCTGCCCATAAAAAAGTCAGTTTGTGACGTCCAGAACTATAAGTATTCTATTTACTTACATTCACCGAAAATTGACAATGGTAAAACGGAAAATGGCCTATTACCTATCTGATTCAGCCGCTTCAAGAGAAGGACTTCTCGAGCCCTTCTCTTCAAATGTATGAACAATAATAAGTTTCTAGGTGTTAGCCTTCTGGAATGTTCTAAGCCAGTCTAAGTGTGAAAAGGAGGCTTAAACTGCTCAAAACGTGAAATAATCTGGGCATTAGGATTAAAATTACAGTTAGTGTCCCTGAAATGGCTCTAGGATCCGTAAATATAGATTTTTAGCCTTATAATAAGTATCCAAAATTCTTCCCGAGAGATTCATCAACCAATTATTGTAAAAAATTTACTAAAATTCTGAATTTTTCAAGAGGTCTTTGTAATGTTCTTCTTTTGATTAGTGGCATAACTGAATAAATTTTGGTGCAAATAAATATGATATCACCTAATTCAGAGATCCTGATTCCTTCCCAATGTTTGGAATCAAGGCCTTGTTTGTCTAAATCCATTATGTTCGAGCCGGTCAGGGTTTGAAAATTAAGATAACCAAAAGGAAGTTTTAGTAATAACAAAAATTCAGGAATCAATGGAGAAAAATCCAATCAAAAAGGATATTATTTTTATTAAAATTCATACTGATCTGAGCAGAGAGACGCTACATATATGCTATCTTAGTTTGAAGAGCAAGAGTAATCCCTTTAGCTTCATCCAGCTAACTATTTTATCATCTTGCTAAAATTGTCATATCTATCCACATGAATACGCATAACTGAAGCTATATTAAGCCCCTCAGGCGGGAAAGTTTAAAAGCTTATGCAAGCTTCGAAGCTGGATAATCATAAAATATTCATGAATCTGATAAAATAATGCCTATGAATTTTCTTAAATTGGGCAATATTATTATTGTTCAGGTAATAGTAATCAGTCTACCAAAAATCTCAAGCTAGAGAGCCCTACTCAGCTGAAATGGTTGCTCCAAAGATAAAGATGGCTCTTGTAATTGTGCTGCTTGCTTGGTATAACGAGATGAACATTTCAAAAATTGTCGAATGCGAATCTCTCACTATGCAAATTTGTCAGGAGATAATATTTATATGACTTCTCTGGCCATACGAGTAGAGGAGGGTTCTCGTTAACTAATGACCATAGAGCGGCTAGATATGTGTAAGGGTTATAAAGAAAAACCAGTTCCTTCATTTTCGGAGAATCTGACATACTCTATTTTTAACCATAACCGAAATTCTAAAACAAGTAGGGTTATCATATTTTTTATTAAAAACACTTAATTCTCCTGATGCTTCTTGATATGCTTTTTCAAATTTCCCTTCTGTGTAAAACTAGCCCCACAAGTATTGCACACAAATGGTTTTTCTCCTGTGTGCATTCTGGCGTGGTCCAGAAAATTCCAAGCCTTGACGAATTCCTTTCCTCAGTTATCGTAGCCTCAGTGTATAATCCTCTTTCTCCTTCTAGGTCCCTTACTAGGTAAGAATGAGACAGTATATTTATAGCCATTAAGTACAGCAAGTCCTTCCCCCTGCTGCGCTTCATTAAACTGAGGTAAACTAGAATTAGCTAAAGACATCATCTGGGCGCCATACATGCTGTAGAACTGCATCATGTATTGCTGATACATGACCTGCTGGTTCAGGTACATAGCCATGTCATTTAATTCGCATTGGCAGTAGTCCTTAGCTGCCTCCATTAGTTCTTCCTCACTCTTAGAGTAATGGTCAATCGGAACGACCATTTCGTCCCGTGCTTCCTTCTCTTCAGTCTCACTTAGCTTATTTACTTTATTTTTGCTAGTATCAGCTTGCTCTACCTCAGAAGGAACCTGAAGGTTGAGTGCAAGTTCTGGGTTATCAATTTTCTCCTTATCTGCCATAAATCTTAAAATAGTTATTATAAACACTCAATTTTGTTCTTTCTATTTGGGGTTTTGGGGTTTTGGGGTTTTGGGGTTTTGGGG